ATATTGCTACAATATTGTTGCATATATTAGATTGCATATAAATGCAATACATATTCAATACCATGAATACTTCATTCCGTTTGTTAGCTCAGCAAAGTTTCCTAACAGTAAGACAAACCCAAAGGTATAAATTATGGTCTCTTTTTGCTGACTGAGTCAATGTTTCCATGGAAACAGACTCCAGTAAGGAGTTGTTTACAAACCTTCAGCTGAGCCAGATAATGGTGGAAGTCTGAACAAATTAGTCAGCATCTTAATGAAACCTTGACTTTATGGGGCCGGCGTTTTTGTTCTTTTGTCCAACATCGCATGCTTTTTACTGTGATTATTCACATAAAATTACGATGGGAACTGAAAAGGCCCAGGCAGCGTGTGGAATGGAAAACTCTGGACATATTTTGAGTAGCCTTCACCACGTGTGCCTTGGTATTCAGGGTTTTGATTTAAAATTATTTTTTTGGTAGGCAATGAGAAGATGAATATAATAAAAAAATATATAAGATGAGCATCTGTTTAAAAGAAACCATGATTTATTTCTTTTTATTTACACTTTGATGACAATAGTGTCTCAGATCAAACACTAAAAGTAAGATATTTGAAAAGGCAAAAAGAAATCTCTATTCTGAATGTTGTCTTATGGATAAAACAGAATCAACACTGAAATGGTTTTCAGCTTAATACAGAGAATCTGAAGCTAATTTATTGTATTTAATTGTGTTCTGTGCAAATAATGACTCAAAGATGGAACAATGAGAATCATGAATATAATGTGGGAGCACCCCTATTGAGAGATGGAGGATGAATGTGAACAAAGCACACATAATTCTGATCTGTCAAAGACCTATTTGGATCAGTTTTCTGGAAATATTTGAATGCATTATGTAAGATTGAACAGCTTTATCCAGAGAGGTTTAGTTACAACTTGCATGCATGTCACTATTGCCCTGCGATGGACTGGCTACCTGTCAAGGGCGAACCTCACCTCTCACTACAGATGGGCACCAGGCACCCGCGTGAGCCTGAGTGGAGCGGGCTGGAAGGAGGGAGGTTAAAATCAGATAGATGTTGGACAGACAAGCAAAGGGAAGGACAAATGGCGGATGGACAAACCGACGGGTGGATGACGTAAATGGATGAATGAATGTTGGACCAAGACGGGCGAATGGACAGACAAACTGGGGTGAATCTTAGGCAAACAGTCAAATGGATGACAATGATATTATTATGAATGTTGGACCAAAAAATGATTTATGGATGGATTTACATGATTCTACATCCCAATATTTAGTCCTTCGTAGAAAACCTTTTCCCCAGCAGTTTTATTTTCCTGTTGTTGTCGTTTTGTTATTGATTGGTTTAGTATTTTCAAAGAAATACTGCTAGCAATTCATATCAATTGCATTCCATTTATTTCTGATTGATTGAATCCAACTACAAGTATGACCAGGCAGTCTCTGGTTTCCAGTTTATTTCAGCTCCTTTGTGCCGAGTCGTCACCTTTGTTGGACATTCACTCCTCAAATTCTGCTGCTATCTTCCTTTCTACGCTGACATTTATGTGCATCCCTGACTGCTCATTAATGTCACTCTTTGAACAATTACAGAAGCCTATTTCTCTAATGACAACCACAATGCACGCTGCCTAATTAAATAAGCCATAATCTGTGAAAGACCGAAGCCATTATGATTAAAATTAAAGACGACAACAAAGGGCAAAATTAAAATTCATTTATGTGCCAATAAAGCAAAGTGCAGAATAGAACATAAAAAGAAAACAAGAAGCTTAATGTGCATACACTATTTTAAACAGAATATTTCCGAGGGCAACGAAACAAGCAAATGTATCTTTGGATCTATGTTTTTGATGTTTCTTTGGATTTGATGTATTTGATCGTAAGGAAGATGCTGCCATGGATTTGCACTAGAATACCAACATTTAGATGATAAGAAAGCATGTCATTTATGGCAGACCATGTTTTTTTAATGTTTGATGCATTTCATGAGCAGGTGGACAGAGAAGGCAGAGAAATGGTTGAAAAACAAACAAACGGTCAAAAACGCTCTCCCACTGGCTCTGCACAGTTCGGGCAAAATGCTTTTCAATTTCCACACACTGAAATATGAATCATCCTCCAATACTACATGAAACAAACACAAGCAGGGAGCATATCTACCGCTGCCATGTCAGTCTGTGTATGTGTGTTTACAGCTCCTCCACCCCTTCTCTCATGTGAAACACAGCATCTTTAACAGTAACTTAAAAAATTACATATCTACAGTTTTTTTTTTATCCTCACACACTGTCCAGAGTTCATATCTGTAATGTAGAAGAAGGAAAATGTGTTAACACATCCACCAAAATCACACACTCATTCATCAGACAGCTGAATGAGGCCGAGATGAACATTGGATTCATGAAGCTATGCACATATTTACAGTCATTACCAGTCATGAAAAGCACACAGAACAAAGTGCATGCTGGTATTTCAAAGGCAGGCTTGCCCTACATGTGCGACAGAGAGGTTGAGAAGGGAATCTTGTTTTAGCATTTTTTGGCTGTGAAGCTTCCCACCACGGGGGGTTCTTCTTTGTGAGTTGTTTTTAAGATTGTTTTGTTTATGTGATTAAAAGCTGTCGTAAAAATACAGTTTGGCAGGGAGTTGCGTTATCTCTCAGCTGCAGAGTCAAATTGAAAGAAAATGACTTGTCGAGTATTGCGTTTTGTTTTCGTTGAACCATTTCATACAAATTCTGAGTTTAAAATAAATTACAGCTTGATACCTGAAATAGCATGATTAAGGTTTATCCTCTCATTTATTTTGATATTGCTGAAATCCCTGAAGGCAAAGGAAAAATAAATAAATCCATAAAAGGGAGAGAATTCAAAGTTGCAGCAATGTTCTCATCAATTTGCAAAATTGTCAAGTGTTAAAGGTTTGCTGACATATTTTCATTTTTTCAAAAAAAAGCGCATATTTTAAATCTGATACATTTCTGACAGAGTATATAAAAAAACAATAATTTGAAAATATAACATTGTTGAGTAATAACTTAGGACTTTCTGCAAACTTGCACAACCAGATGCAATGTGGCACCAATCGCATTTTCTGAGTCACTGAAGGAAGTTTGCTTGAGAAAAGAGATTGGATAATTATTACTCCTAAATAATAGTGTGTTTAAGTGTGTTTTTTTTTTTTGTATGGCGTTTCTCCATTACTGATGTTTAAAACTGTATAAGAGAAGCAGCCTTCAGGGCCATGAGTGATTACACTGTTCAAACTTCATTCCAGTTTGATCACTGATAGTCAGATTAACGCAAGACCATCTGTTCATGGGCACAAAGAGGCCTATGGCATAAATTACGAGTACTTGTAGCATTTTAGTTGCAAGTGGCTGAAATCAGCTTCCTTAATAGGACAGCTGAACCTTAGAGTTAGGGCAAAGAGAAAATTCATTTTGAGGAATGCTTGTAGCAGAGCCACTGCTAATTGGAAGGAGTTTGTTGAGGTTGTTCCAGCATCTGACCAAGAAGTCTCCTGAGCACCTCAACTGGAGGTTTTCTGGGCATTTCCTCCTAGGAGACCCCAGGGCACACCTAGAACATGCTTGAGGGACTATACAATATATCCCTAATGGCCTGTCACTGCCTAGCGATATGCAGTGCTTAGGAAGCGGGTGGGGCTCACAGCAGCTCAGCTCTGCTCAGGACAGAGCAAAGCTGCAACAGGACTGCTTTCATATGCGAGCGTAAAAGTCTCCAATGGCAGAAAAAAGTCACTAGATTTGTTTAAAAAAAGGTCTGCAGATATTGCAACAAAGAGGAGAAGTTGGTGACAATGAGCTTCGCACAACTCTGCTTACGCCTTCCACTCATCCCCACATTTGGCCTCTCAAATTTTTAACCCAAATATTTCATGAATATTTAGTTAATTTTTTTGTTTTTGAACAGCTACCATTTAAGTGCGATAAACCCACATCAGTGTTTATGGGCAACTGGTTTCTTATTTGAGAGCATAAAAAACAATCTAAATTCAAATTCTTTAATCATCTCTTTAATCATAGCAGGCTTAAGTCCAGATCAAGTTATGTTTGAAGGCCATATGTTGTCATTTAGCTTCACAAAAAAGCTTACAATATCAATCCAACGTCTCCATTGACATGCAGTAAACTTTGTGCAATTGATTAGGGGTTTTAAACATCAGTCACTCAACAATTTGTTGGATGAACAATAAACACATTATTGCACACAGCCTCTGTTCTTATGAACCATTTGTTTTGTACCATGAACTCTGTAGCAACTGAGACACTTACAAATTCTTAAGGGGCTGCAGAAGACATGTTCAGGAGCAAATTGCATTGTACTGGGTGCAGCCTTAGTTAGACTTCACCTGAAGTGCACGATAGTCCAGGACACTAATGCTGATGTTGACAGATGTAGAAAGGCAGATCACAGGATGCCCCATTAACACTCCATTTTGCAGCGCTTGTGTAAGAGCACAGGCGGGAAAGACGAGCTGTAATTTAGGTAATTTTGTTCTACGCTTCTTCCTTTTCTTTAATGACAATAATTATCTGTGGAAAACATCTGTAGATGCGTTGTCTCCTTCCTCACTCCCCTCTTCTGGTTTGATCAGTGTCTTTTCCTCACATCTCTGTCTTAATCACCCATGTTTATTTTCTCCAGCTTGTCTTTACCCTCTCTTTTTTTTCTTTATCTCATTCTCCTTCTGCTACTGACTCAGGTTCATTCCTCCAAAATTAGCATATGCTTCCTTCTATTTCCACCTATCTGTCAGAGAAAATGAAGCCAAGTTCCAAAAATTTACACCCAAAGTAATCCTTACGGCTGATTTAATGCATTTCAATAGAAATCATTACGTTCGCTTTCAAAATATATTTTTTTCTTCTGTCTTGACTCCCCTTTTTAGCACAATAAACTGTTTCCTAATCTCATTTGGAGTCAGAGAGCATGAGAAAAATAGCGTGAAATTCATACTCACCCCAGTGGTTTTTCCAGTCGACTTGCTGGTGATCCAACGATCTCCCCGAGAGTGCAGAAAATCTGACCTAAAAAGTCCTGGAGGGAAGCAAAAGGGAAAGTTGAAAAGAAAAAAAAGGAGGAAGAGCAAAATTCTGGAAGCAAGTAGAAAGAGAAAAATTCATGTTTAGACTTAGAGACTGACTTTCACCAGATTGCATGCAATCTAGCACTGGTTTCCTCCAAGGAACTTGTACACTGGTGTTCATTCAAGTTTTGCAGATGAAAACCAAACTTTAAAATGTGCCTCGTACATTAAGTGTTGATTCATGGTGTGACATTTCCTCACACCATGAGTGAGTGACTGATCAAACCATTTTTCAGTTTTTAATTCACCATGAACCTTTCGACATTTGTAGAGGCAAACATTTGTTGTTTGGGGATCATGTGAAGAGGGGAAAATTAGAGTGGTTAACTTTTTCAATAAAAATTAAAAAGCAGAATTTTTTTTTTTTTTTTTTTTTTTTTTAGTCAGGCCTCTTTATTTTCCCATCCCTAAAATAAAACCAGTGCCTTCAGGAGTCACATTAATTAACAAATAGAGTCCTACAGCGTATCATTTATTTACAGCCTGATTACTGCCGGACTCTAAAGCTCTTGGACACTTCTTGCAGACGATTAGTAAGCAAACAGAACTGTGAAGACAAAGAAACACACCACACAGGTCAGGAATGAAGATGTGGATAGGTTTGAGGCACGGTTAGATTATGGAACATCACGAGCTGGATTAAAGCACATTGTGCAATCGATCATCTGAAAATGGAACAAATATGGAAGAACTGAAAAGCTATCAAACATGGCTATCGACCTTCACTGAGAGGCTGGGTAGGTAGTGTGTCAATTAGAGGAGCAGGTATTTTGGAGGAGTTGCAGACACTGGAAACTCAGGTAAGAGAAACTTTTGTTCCACCTAAATTCTAGTGCAATCAAGAAAATAATGTTTCAAGGATCTATTACAAATTCCATCTATTGTTGAAAAAAAAAGTAGGATACAAAGCAAATGTAGAAGAGAGTGCTCTGGTTAGATTAGGTCAAAGTTTAACTCGCTACTCTACATGTAAAAAGCTACGCCTGGTAAAAAAAAAAAATTAACACTGCACACCCTGCTGAAGACACAATGCCCACCAACATGGAGGTGAAGGCATCATGCTTTGTGTGTGCTTGTTTTCAGCAGTACAAGATGATTAGAGTTGATGGGGAAAAAAAAAACTGATGGCTCTAAGTATAGTAGGGGTTCACCTTTCAGCATCAGAAAAAACCTACACAGACAGACAGAATTGTAATTCAATGGCTTTCCTACAGTAGACTTTCCCAGTCAAAGTCCAAACCTAAATTCGACTAGTAATATGTTGCATGACATGAAATGTGATGTCTACAGCGGCTTTCTATCAAAACTGAATACATTGGAAAGATGCTAAGGCAAGAATTTCAGTCTCTAGATGTGCAATGCTGGTAGAAACAGCCTGCGCATCTGTTTTTATATTGCTGATCAGTACAAGTTGTATGCAATTGCACACCACACTTTTTCAACACTTGTGGTGTCAAAAATCTTTTGTCGTGTAACCAGTGTATTACCAGGTCAAATCCAGGCTCCGTCAGTCACCACTATCACCGTGTGACTGTGTCCGTGAAGAAGGGAATAACTGATTGTAGAGTAAAGCACTTTGGAGTACTCTGACTTGATGAAGAACTATACAAAGGCCTAATCAAGTCAGCGTAGTTGATGAAGTACTCTTAACCAAATAAAAGTAAAACATTTTGAAGGCTACAGTTGTAATGTGGAAAAAGCTGTAAACAAAGGTCTGAGTATTTTTGCAAAGTGCTGTGTCTACAATTCCACACTTAATTGTGTTGCCTTACAATCAATATTACTGTGAACTCCTAAACATTAAGTTTGGTGTGCAAAAAATTAAGGTTTACTGAAATCAAACAACACCATAATCTGTTAAACTGACATAGAGCAATCAAAGGTTAAATGTAGCCCCAACACCTCCTGTAAAATATGCATAGCAGTTGTTGTAAATGCTATTAAATGTTGCTAATGTTAACAAATGATCAAGTGTCTATGACACTATGATAATTTGCAATGCAGCAGATGGTCAGTTGAAGGAAACTAAGAAATGACTGGGACGCAACGAGGATTGAGCAAGAAAGTTAAAGCAATCGATGTGACTTTTCAAGAAACAAGTCCCAGTTTTACTTCTGACACGCAGCATTTCAGTTTGATAAATATCTATTCTCTCAGTTTTCAAGTTACTCGAGTATTATGTGTTATTTCAATAGATAGAATGGAATCATAGTCCAGGCCAGCTTTATTATGGTCACCTATGAAATAGAGGAAAAGCTTTATGCTGCACAAAAGTCCATTTCAATATGTTTTCCCAGGATGCAGAGCATCACTTTTCTGCATGAAAAACAATAACAAATAAGTGGCACCAAGTACACTAATGTGATAATAATATGTATACTGACCATTCTGGTACAGTTTGTGGGAGCACTAGTGAGGGAAAGACGGTCAATGCCATAAGATGTGAAAATGGGAAAAATCTAAAACTATGTCCACAATAAAAAAGATCAAAGTAAAACTGTCATTGTTTAAAATGTTTCTTGAAACCTTCACTGCTTTCCCATGTGGGTGTCAAATAAATTTGCCTATAAGCACCCGCACAAGTTTAATATTTGCATAAATGCTTTATCTACTCCTGAAAAAAACACAGGCAGAGTAAAAACTGCAGTATGTTTCTCCCAGTGGCAGAATCGTGTAAACTCATGCAGGTATTTGAAACCCAATGCCAGGATTAAACAGTCCCCAATTCTTGCCATTTGAGGCAAATAAGTAAATGGAAAATGGCCCAACAATCCGTCCACATTAATCCCACTGAACCTGGTGCTTCCGACCTTAAAAACAATTGTGTTCTTTACATTTTTTCTATGATTCTTTGATGATGAGTACTGGACTATAACCTGTTGTTACTGTGATGCAGTCAGAAACAACCCCCAGTTTGTTTCTTCCTATTGAACATCACGACTGTTTCACTGACTTGAAGTGAATACAAGGACAAATACGTCTGTGCGTGGAAATTGTGAAACATCATGCTTGATGGTGAGAAACATGATCAGTGTGAGTATTAGACATGGATCCAAACTTCTTAGATAAATAATATTTTCTGTTCCAACTACACTGCCTGCAAAAGTGTTTAAACACCTTGAGATTTTCCATAAACCTCCATGTGGTTTCATTGTTTGACAAAATGTGAAAGACTCCAATTAGCATAAAAACTTTGGCAAGGCATCACATGTCCTTATCAGTAAAAGTTTCTCGATGATCACTTCGGCATTCGACAGGATAGCTTTAGAATCAGATTTGGAATGTGGTTTTTAGTTTTGCAAGGTGAAGCAATCCAAACCAAAAGTCCTTAACTTTGGCCTTGGCAGGCAGGGCCCACTAAATAATTCATCATCATCCAGAAATGTTTTACATTTCACAGAAATCTCTGCTCCAGTCTGCCTACTGATTGTAGTCGCTGTAAACTGTTGACGCCTGTAGCAAGTTATCATGGAAATACATTTTTTTTCTATTTATAAATTACAAAAAAGAAAAGAAAAAAAAGACTTGACAGTTATTTTTTTTTCCACACTGTGTCCTGTGTGTTTCTCTCTGGGGATTGGAAGATATTCAGTTGGCTTGCTTTGGTTTTCAGGTGTTCTAGCCTAATGACTGACACAGTCGTTCCCTCTGAGAGACAGATCATTAATGTGAGACAGCAGCCATGCAGTGTGAGTGTGAGAGGAGATGCAGGAACCTACATTGAGTTCTGCGGGCTTCCAGAAAAGTTGGGCGGCAGCAGCAACAACAACGACAGCAACAACAGTAACAACAGAGCACATCATATACCAAGGCACAACACTATGGCAAATACCTAAAAACTCCTGTTTAAAGTGACACCATGCGGAAGAAGGACAAGGAGCTCATCACAGGTGAAGCTAACGATGGAAAATGCAAACCCCTGTTATCCAAACGTATCAAATAATCATTGGCAATGATTATTCTTCGTTCCAAACTTTTGTCAATGCTTTCTGTTACCAGTTTCCAGTGCTAAGTAAAAGAAAATCACAGCTCATGTGCTCCTAGTGAAAGAAAATAACATGAAGTATATAGCCTGTTGCACTGTTTAAAATGGAAACTAAAAGTCAAAAGCATTGCACTATCAAAGTTTTTAAAAGACCCTGCCACTGCAGGGATACTACAACAACTCAAAAAAGACAGTAGGAATAGATGGGAATCTAAATGATCATTTAATAGAGGAGACAGTAGATTACAGTAAACAGAAATGCCATTAAAATCTAAGCCTAACAGTGGCGGTTTTTGAAATGGGCAAAAGGGCTCTCTGCCCAGGGCAGCACAATGTCAGGAGCGCCATGAGGCAAAAGAAAGAGGAAACTTTACAACCCGTCACCCCCTTCCATACATACACACTCACACGCACCATCGCCAATCCCAAACAAGCTGTATTGTCTGTTTCCACTTTCTGTGTCATTCACTATGTGAGAAAGTGTAAGAAAATATTGCTACATATGGCAGGTGACCTTTGTGTTGGTTTCACAACCTGTGGTTCTGGTCTAAGTTAAATTATTCAATGTGTTTTCAGGGAGCCTTGACTGTCTCTGGATGCATATCAATCATATATAACCTGGTTGTTGGGTTATTCTGCTTACAGTACAGTCTGAGATTTAACAAATCAACATGAGCATTTTGGAAAACACAAAAAATCCTTTCTATGCTCTCTCAATATTATGAACACTGTATATTGAGATGAGTATAAAGGATAATAGACTGGTCAATCATGGATTTATTTATTCTACAGTAATTACAGACAGTCCAAAAATGTGCTTAAAAACTAAGAACATAAAGTGTAAACATGACAGATTTTTTTAAAAAGAGGCTTTCTACACTTACTGTAAGAGAATGAGAGCAAGATGAATTACTTCTCTGAAATAGTTTTGTGTGGTAAGGTGTTTTGTTGTCTTTTCATAACGTTTGCAAGACATTGAAGCGGTTGATTTGAAATTTGTGTTCAATGTCATTTTGTTTGTGTTTTAAGGGATACAATTAAGTCTTTATTGTAATGTTTGTAAAGGATGTTTTTATTGTAATATTTGATGCGGACCCAAGGAAGAATAGTCTCCAGCAAAATAGAGACTAGTGGGGAATCCTTAAATAAACAAACAGATCAATAAGCTTTTTCTCTTAATGTTTCAAGATAGGATACGGTGGAAAAATGGTCTTTCCTTGCCAAATTGGCTTTTTGTTTGGAAAAGTGGAATGAGGGTCTCACCCGGGGCACCATTCATGCAAGAACCGCCACTGCCCAACAAGATTGTGTAAAAACAGAAAAATTAGTTAGCATTTGGATGCGTGCAAAGTCAGGCAAGTAAGGGGTTTGTTTTATTCCACCTTCGGAAAAAAAATAAATAAATAAATAAATAACATGCTGCAAGCAACACCCACTCAAACCGTGCAGAAAACAAAATAAAAATAATGATAATAATATGACTATTTCACAAGTTGACAACGGATTCATCAGGTTAAATCGAGCTTCGGCAAGCACCACATTTTATCTGTTACAGAGCATTTTAAGCCAGTAGTTAAAATTTTACTCTAGATTTGCTTCAATTTGTCTACGGTTCAAGGTTAAATTAAAAACAAGCACTCACATGTTTGGACAGGTCTGGGCTTTTAGAGTCCACATCATACCTGAGAGGGAAAAAATAAAAGACCAAGGCAGAACTTTTAGTAGAGAAAATATGAACAAGTCGAGATATTTTATTGAACATACTCTCAAACCAAACATGAAATGGAACTACAAAGCACTGCAGTCGCTAGAAATAAAAAAGGAGGTGTCATTTGTGCCATGTGCTTTGTTAAATTTTGGTATTTGCTTTTTTTTTGTTTGTTTGTTTCTGAAATTCAAGGTAATGCTGTCACAATCAATCACATGAAGGAAAGAGGCAACTAACTGTATAAATGTATGACTTGAAACTAAAAAAAAGCAAAGAAAAGACGGTAACACAAAGACAAATACGTCATATTTTAATGTGCTAGACTGAAAGCCAGTGTGTTTGATGAGGTGACCAGAAAAGCGTAATCAAATGTGTTAATTCAGAAGAGGCCAAATGAAAAGAACCTGGATCTGAGTATCTTCTCAGATGTTACCATTTGTGCTGCTCAGTAATTAAGGATGGGCTCAGCCCGACCTTTATTTCCTGAGAGGTGAACCTAATCTGATTTGCATGTGAATACAAAACAATGAAAGTGAGGGAAAGACAGTGTATGCGATGGCCAATATCAAACATATGACAGAAACAATGGATCCTCTTTATTCAGTAATCAGGTGTGTGTAACGTCGCATAAATCCTCTTATTTATTTTATGTTTGTTTTAACTGATGGACTTACAACAATTATAAAAATACAGTCAAACAATTTAACACAAGACCTCTGAACTGAAGAGTTTCCCTCATAATCAAGATGAACTGATCTGGAAAATGCTGTCGAGTTTGCCATGTTTTCTTTATGTTTCATAAGCAGCCCAGTATTGGCTGCTTATGTTAACATACAGTCCCATAAAAAATAATTCACACCTAAACATATTTTGTTAGAGCACATTCTTCCTCTTTTTTGCTCTGCCTGTTTCTGTTGCACACTGTTACTTCCTGCGGCTTTCTTTTCCAATTCATATAGATGTTTCCGCTCTTCTGGGTTAATTTGTAAAACATGTCAGTCCAGTAGATTCTCCCATCTGAGCTGTGAATCTCTGCATCTCATCCAGAGTGACTATGATCCTTTTTGGCTGCTTCTCTACTAAATGCTTTCTTTTGCTTGCCTGTCAGTTGTCATAGAGGGCCACGTTTTGATAGTTTTGCAACTGCGCCCAACTCTTTCTACTCCAACACTTTCCATTTTCAGGTGATGATGGATTGAGCAGAGCTTTGTAAGACGATCAAAGCTTGAGATGTTGTTGTAAATCCTAACCTGGAGCATTATCCCTGACCTGTCTGCTTTGATCCTTGGTCTTCATGATGCCGTTTGTTTGCTAATGTTCTCTGACAAACCTCTGAGGCCTTCACTGGATTTATAATGAGAACATATTAGACATATCTAGACTGTGACTTCTGAGGGCAATTCTTCCCCTGGTTTAGATTGAGGTGTATCAGAGGAAATTGGGGCTGAATTATGCACTACTTTGCATTGTTTTAACCAAATTTAATGTGTAAAGATTTAATGTTAAAAAAAAATGTAACAGGCTCAAGTGGTTTCATTTTTACAAAATACAATATACAAAACCATAGTGGTTACAGGGGTGATTTGTGTATCAGTTTCAGTTTACATATTTAAAAATAATAATAATGGTATCCAGCAATAAATATCAAGAACTGTCGTTCTATTTTTTAGGTCAAGCTCATATTCTATGCTATGAACCATTTTTGAGGGTGTAAAAAAGTCATGACCGAAATTTGACACATATGTTTGAAGGCTTTGTACCATTTGAACATACTGATAACATGGCTTGCATTATCTTTTAATTATTGTGGTTGGCATTCTCATCACTGCTAGTAGACATAAAAGAGGAGAAGAAGACGGGACAAAAGATTAAAAATAACTCACAAGTCAAAGCGTAGATTCTGTTTCTCCTCAAAAAAGTAGTCCAAGATGTACTTTCTAACAAAGTCGGGGTTTAGGGTGTTGTCTATCACCTCCGTCCTGCCGAACTATGAAGGGGAGAAAAATAGATGAAAGTCAGGAGAAAGAAATGATGAATGGAGACAAAAGAAAACTGGAAAAAACATAGTAACAAAATCTTTGCGGTATTAAATCAGGCCTTATTTTTAGTGGCTGCTGTGCAAAGAAGCTAGTTTTCCTTTAATTCCCATATCCCCACCTTTATCCCTAATTACAAAAAGATAACCCACTCATCAAAGCCCTACAGGAAGCAAGCGATAAGTAAAAGATCCTGAGAAAATGTGTAGGCAGAGAGAAAAAAAGAGTCTAGGAATAAAAATGGCATAGGAAGTACAAAGAGCCGGCAGAAGAAAAGGGGGTATTACTCAAAACTAGGGATTTTGGACAGAAAAGGGGGTGACAGGATGGGGGTGGAAACAGCAGAGGTGGAGAAGAGTAGTGATTAAGGCTTCCTAATTAGCGGGATTTTCACTTCCAAGGTGCCAAACGAAGGAAAATATGGCAAGAAAACACTCATAAAATGACACAAACCTTAAACACAGTTAATTGAGCAGAGTTTCACAGGAGGTGGCGTCAAGCACACATAAAATATTTTTGCTGAAATTTTATATAGCACTCAATCAAGAAATTTGCTACATGAAAAATGCCTACCACATTCTCTGTTTGTTGTAACACTTAATTATAAGTACTTTTGATATTTTACCTCTGGACAGCAAAATCAATGACGGTGGTTTTTGTGGCCTCATTCTGTATCTTATCCTTTTTCAGTGAGAATGGCAAGAGGTGTTAGAGGTTAAAATTGGATTATAAGCCACTATTTTAGTCCACTATTTTAAAAACCAACAGGTTTTTTAAAGATTGGCATACGGTCTGACGAAGAGGAGAGTATAAGCTCAAGAGCGAATTTGCCTCAAAACAAAAATGACATTGTGAGTGACAACAAAAGGAGAGACTGAGAAAGGCTGTTCAGTTCTGACACTGAAGTAGACTACTAGTGGTTTTGGACGATGAAGATAGCGATTGATGACATTTTCTCATAGGCTACTGTATTTTTTTAAGCAGCCAGGTTTAGTATGTTACAAATACGTAATTAATTAAAAGTTTTTTTGTTGTTTTTTGTTTTTTTAATCTGTCTAAATATCTCATGTTATAACCTGGATACCTGCAGCTTATAGACAAATTGTCTGTGTACAGACTTTATTTTCCCTTCAAAGTTAATGGGTGTGTCTTGTAATCAGGTGTGCTCAGTCTGGAAATTACGGTAGCCTGTTTTTCCACACAGTGGTGGTGAAATTGATCACTGTTGGATGTTAGTAAGGATTTTTCGCTTATTGCAGTAAAAACGCTGACAGTATAAACTCCGGGCACTTACGAGAACACGACACATTGTTTACTACCTCCTTGCTTGGTTTAATATCTCTTATTCCAAAGAACCCACTAACTGACTTGTGTAAGTGGGAAACGGAAATAAAAGGCAGAAATTGAATCTGTGCTGCACCTTGAGTCTCCGAGAGACCCCGAGGTGTTGATGAAGCTGTGAGCACATGTTAGTAAAGAGGCGGGTGATGGTTAAAGATGAGCTCTGTAATGTGATTTCCCCACTGAGTGGAGGAGACAATACTGATCTGCAGAGTTCATTAGATGCCGCATGACTGCAGGAGTTGGCTAATGAGAATCTGGCATGGAGTCCCTGAGTTTTCACCCTCACTATCACACACATACGCAAACTGAGTCTCCACAGATGTGTTGCACATGCTGCTAACTTGGCTAACTGAACTCTTCAGGCAACAGCTAGACTTTACAGTGCCTGATGTTAGAATCTGAACATGCCTCCAAAAACACTGTCACATTGTGGGTGTTTTTTTTTTTTTTTTTTAAGTGTGCCCACCAAAGTAGGGCAATAAAAAAATGCGATGATAATTCTTTGCCTTGGTGGTGGGTCTTCAGTCCCAAACTTGACCAAAATGTTATTATCTTCTTCCCCGGAGCACACACAAACCACAGCTGGGGATTTGTGTTGCTTCTTTGACCAACATGGGATTTTACTGTCCTCATGGGTTGTTGAGTAGACAGTTGCATACTGCTGCAATAATGAGCTTGGCGGTTTCTTCTGCTTTCACAGGCAGAGGTAAATGACACTAGTGTGAATTAGTGTGAGACGAGCCTTTTTTTTTTTTTTTCTTTTTCCGGCTGTGGCCTTCACTTAAAAAAAGCTCTGTTGTGTATGCAACAATTGCTCAACACCAACGAAAAGAGAAACACACTGCAAGCAGAAAAGGCATTCCGTAAACCCCCAGGAAGAAAATAGCATCAGGAGCGTTCTGGCTGGTCGGGGAGGAATTTTCATAGAGATGCTAAAAGTGTCGTGTGTCTAAATGAGAAAAAAACTAATCCATGGCTTGGCTTGAGCTTTGAGCTTGAGTTGTTTTTGCATGATTTTTAGACGGAAGAACACACAGAAATGTACACATACAATAAAAAAAAATCCTAATTTGTTATTGTATGTGTACAATATTTATTATAACTAACACTACAATATGTTTATGTTTTCCTGTAAGAAATTTTTTT